CACAAAATAATGTGAGGTATTATATAGCAACACTGCATTTGCAGCTTTTCAGCAAAAACGAAAACCGACACGCAATTGAAATGCTTAATGTGTTGTTAATACAAAAAATAGGGAAGGGCCTTGAAAAAAACACTGAGATTTGAGACTCAGGGTGCAGGGTGAGGGTCTCAGTGCAGGTATTCAGGGCCCCATTGAATTCCCCCCTCCTGGTTCTTGTGCTGAAAAGAGGGAGTAACAGACAGGAGAAATGGTTATACACACCTAATATATCGCACACCTATGGATGGGAAATTGGCCTTTGGAGAATAAGGGTTGTCTTTGTTCGCCAACTGAAATTATGAAACTTTATTAATCTTGTGAGTTTAACAAAGTAATGACAAATGCAATCATTAACAGATGTGATATGAATTTCCTATAAAGTGGCTCACATTCGTTGGTCATTATTATATACAGTATGAATGAGTATAACATGTCGAAGTAAAGTATAAAGTGGTTTCCTAATACCTGTGTATTCAACCACTATGGAATAGTGGTGGTACTATGGTATGGTATCGCTAGGCTTTAATCTGTTATAGTGTAAACGTTCCCTAAATCTAACAATGTAGGGATAATCATCCATTGACATCCCTTTAACACAACATGTTAATTTGAATCAGATGTAACTGAAATTCACGCAATATAGAATCTTAAACTCCTTCTTACCTTTTAAAGTTCCGTCACGAAACGGTCCTATTATGCGCAACTCACAGCTCCTGCTAGCTTGCGCTAACTTCTGGGGAACGATTGAGGAGGCTCCACGATCCGCCATGCTGTAAAAAAGTGGTCAATTGGAAGTGAACCGGAGATGAACGTAACTCCTCAGCTATAGGAACCTGGAGTAAGGGCCCCCTAGCCAGTCTCCCAGATCTCAACCCCCATAGAAAAATCTTTTGGAGGGAGTTGAAAGTCCGTGTTGCCGCAGCGACCAGCCCCCGCAAAACCATCACTGCTCTACGAGGAGATCGTGCATGGAGGAATGGGCCAAAATACCAGCAACCAGTGTGTGAAAACCTTTTGAAGACTTACAGAAAACGTTTGACCTCTGTCATCTACCAACAAAGGGTAATAACAACAGTATTGTGAGATGAACTTTGTTATTGACCCAATACTTATTTTGCCACCCATAATTTGCAAATAAATTCTTTAAAAATCAGACAATGTGATTTTCTGGATTTTTTCTTTCTTCTCATTTTGTCTTTCATAGTTGAGGTATACCTAGGATGAGAATTACAGGCCTCTCATCTTTTTAAGTGGGAGAACTTGCACAATTGGTGGCTGACTAAATACTTCTTTGCCCCACTGTATACTAACAAAGCACTGGCTTATCTAAAGCGAGTTGAGTAGCACTTGAAATGTTTTGGCTCTATGAAAGCTGATGTACTTATATGATTCTGTTTTCTACAAGTTTGTATCTTATTGGTCGAATGCACTTATTGTAAGTCGCTTTGGATAAAAGCGTCAGCTAAATGCAATGTAATGTAATGATAGCATTTATTGTGGCTCCTTTTTTGGACGTATGGCATATGTTACTGAGTAATGACCATGTTCCATTAATTTACCCTCAAAAATGTTAAGTGCAGGCCTGTGTTACAACACACACACACACACACACTCACACACACACACAGGTGTGCACGCAACAGGAAGCTCAAATGTTGTTCCGCAAGATCTGTTGTTGCCATGGTATTGCACTGCATCCCCCTAAATCGCCATGGAAACACAAAAATTATGACTGGCATGGGGCTTTAAGTGAAGTGGGTCAAGAGCAACTGAGTCAAGTCTAAATCTAACAAATTACATGTGTATCACATACAATGTCTCAGTGGGATTAACAGCCCATCGACATCAAACAGCTAACCCGAGCTAGAGCTGGATCTTCGAGAAGATAATTAAATATAGCTCAAAGTTAATTGAGCACTAAGAAAAACTAGGAATTCATAGATTACATAATATGTAATCTATTTGTCCACTTGATCTACTTTTACACTGGAAAAAATGCTGCTCCAAAAACAAGTTAAACAATAATGAAAACGAGCTGTTTTCACTTGAAATAAGTACAACAAAAAAAGTGAAAATTAGCTTGGTAAGATTTATTGAAACAAGATGGAATATTTCGATAAATCAGATCTTGCAATTAGCTGGGAGAACTCATTTTGAACTATATTTGCCCAGAATCAAGAAATGTTGTGTTGCCGCAAATGCTCTAAGTTTTCTGTTTTCTGAGGTTAGTCTGTGATTTTCTAATAAATGTGTAAAAGAATGTGTTTCATCTGAGATAAAACTCAAAATAAGATTGTTTTACTTCTAAAAACAAGACCAGATATCTCACTGCAGTGTTACTTCTGAAGTTATGATGTCTTATATCAGGTGTAAAGACATATTCTGACTAGATATTAGACAAATATACTTGGCAAGATTTCGAGTTTTTTTTGTGTAAAAACTCAGAAACAGTTTTCTTAATTGTTTACATGCCCATCTGCAAACTGTGTCTAATGCAGTGAGCGGCATACATTCACATTAAATGCAGTTTTAGTTTTTTTAAGACTTACAAAGCCCTTTTTTAAAGACTTACAAAGGTTGTGTCAGCAAACATTCATTATTAAGTGTGTTTCACTGAATTAGATCAGTTGTTAGCGTGCCACTGGCTTAACATGACTGAATGCACCTGAATTGTTTTGACTTATTAACCTACTTTAAGCCTCTCACATTCATGGGTTTCAGAGGAGCTTTCACTCCCTAAGCCCCAAACTCTGTCAAATACACTTCATTACTGACTTGTTTTCACTGTGTGGTTTGTCATAATTACTGTTTTGTTTAAAAGATCCTCACTTGCTTCCCTCAAATTACAGTTTTATTTTTAATTGTGTGTTGTGTGTTAATTAACTGTGTTGATTTGATAGAAAAATGGCTCCATCTTGTGGTTGTAAATATTTCAGTGAATACTAAGCATGCTGTTTAAGCTCACTCACTCTGCCTTAGTTCACAGTATTCACAGCAGAGACACTACATCCAAGTCTCTCAAAATGCCCCAAATGTGTCCTCCATATTGCTGTAAAGAATTATTTTAGATCCTAATATAAGTTTGACATTTGAAATACATTTCAGCTCTTTTCAGATTTGTATACACATGACAAGAGGCATACATTAATAAGAGCTAAAAATAGTATTTCCATCTCAGTGCACAGTATCATCACCCTACAAAAGCTGAATGCATTGCCTACTACAGGCATGGGCTGCCACCTAGAGGTGGACAGAGTCAATGCATCTGTTTAAGATTAGGATGCACAATCTACAGTACTCGGTGCAGATCATCACATCATTGGCTGATAAAGTGATATTCATATTATTATGAAGGGGGGGGGGGGGGGGGGGGGGGGACATTGGCCCACCTCTTGATGCTACATGGTACAATTTGGTGTTGTGGCTGGTGTGATCCAATTGGAAGAGTGTCTCTACTGGGGCTAATTTTGTAGGTATGGGTAGGGACACGTACATATCGAACACTTGTTGGGGAGATGACAGGGTTAACGATAATGGCATTCACTAGGAAGATACACTTAGAGCAGCAGACAGCATCAGCATGACAATATGTTGGAAAATAAAATCAACCTTAATCTTGACTGGACAATGGACTGTTTAACTATGAGCAAAACTCAACTGAAATCGTTCATTAGTGGCCTTTGTTGTGAGTGTTATTTAAAATAAAAACATGTCTTTGACAAATGTTCCTGAACTTTTCAATTTCTGGTTGTTTCAGCTTCATGTTGCCAGTTTTAAGAAGCAAAACAATTGACCACTTGTTGTGCGCACAGCATAGACACCCTTTAGTCGCACAGGCTCGAACTTTAAACTGTACTTAAATATGTATTATCCACAAACATCGGATCTGTAAAGCGGGGACTTATAGTTGTTATGAAAATCGAAAACATTTCGTGATGAAACCTAGCTCAAATGCCTTATTTTAGGATGTTACGCGAAGTCCTTGAAGGCAGCACGCTCTCTCTCTCTTGTCACTTCTGTCCTCGGGTCCAGCTCGAGTCTCCTGAGAGTCTGACTGCCGGTGGGGTGTGTCTGCTGGAGATAGAGCTGGAGAGAGTCAGCTGCGTCAAGTGGGCCACAAACAGACAGGAAAAACCGGAAGATGCATGAGTTTGTCTTTAAAATAAAAGCGCCAAAACACCTGCCACTGCCTTTGCATCTGCAACTAAAGAACCGAATCAGTAATGTAAAACATAATCATTGAAAAGTTAGAATAAATTGTATTCCCACACGGAACCACATTAGCAAACATAACAAGAGAAAAAACTAAAAGCAATACAGAGAATATAAGCCAGTAAAAGGTAGCCTAGGTCTTCTTCCTCTGCATTGCAACCATAGATTGCAACCGATTGCAACCCATTAAAATAAATGTTTTGGCACACACTTGTTCTTAATTTTACCATGGTTGGTTAGTCTGCATACCTCATGCAAATCTTCAATTCTATTTGTTTTTGTTTCTGCTTCATGTCTTTTTGCAAGTGCACTTTGTAGTCATTGTTTTATAAAGGTGCTATTGTAGTGCCGAGAGATAGGGAGTCAGAGGCGGTGCAATGATGGTGTAAAAGGGTACTTTATTTAAGAGCCGCAAAGGACATGTTGTCCGGTTGCAGTCCGGGAAGAAGAGAGAGTGAAGTCAGGAGGGCACACAACATATAGTAAACACAAACATGTCCGTGTGGGAACAATAGCCCTACCCCACAGTTCCGTGTGTGAATTATGACCCAGTGTATTAAAGGTGGTCACCACACAAGCCCCCCCAGAATTCAGACACGGCAAAAATCCTTGCGTCCGGGAGGAAGCACCACAGGGGCAGAGGAGGGTGGGGTTGCAGATGAGGGCCGGGCCATGGAACGGGCCGACGAAAGGGGGCCGCAGGAGAGGGTAGGGGCCCCAACGAGGGCGAGGGCACAGCGGCGGCGTGCATGAAGTCCTCGGGAGGAAAGAGCCAGGTCCCCGGGGAGCAGGAGCAGCATCCCCGGGCACCCACCGCGCGAGGACCCCTGGGGCAGAGCGGAGCCGTCAAAGCCTGCAAGCGGGTACGGAAGTAGCCGGGCACCACACGCCGCGAGGCCCCTGGGACAGACCGGAGAAGGGAGCGGAGCTGTCAAAAGCCTGCAGCGGGTTACGGAGTAGCCGGGAGCACCCCACCGCGCGAGCCCCTGGGACAGACCGGAGAAAGGAAGCGGAGCCGCCAAAACCCCTGCAGCGGGTACGGAAGTAGCCGGGCACCCCACCGCGCGAGGCCCTGGACGGACCGGAGAGGAGAATGGCGCCGAGTGCCAAGTGGAGCCTGCGCGCGAAGCCTGCCGCGGGGGACAGACCGGAGAGGGGACAGGTGCGG